AAGAAATGTACTCGATGCCGAGGTATTATTTTTATGAAAATTCAGTATATTCCTTCCTATGGCTTAAATCTTCCACGAGAAGCTCTCAGATGTAGCCTGATAACCCGCCAACCTAAAAGTCAAGTTGACCCCATTCAGAATGAAAAAGGAGGTTGTTAAGAATCCTTCTTCCTGTGATCCTTCTGATGACTGAACCTTCCGTGATGTTTACAATGCGAAACGCGTGCCCTTTTATTGATTGTCCCAGAATCGGCAATGGATATTAGGGCCAATAAATAGTTACTTATTATATCACACTCTATTTGGTTAACGAAGAAAAATGAAAATAATCTCTCCTCATGTTCCGTAATTTTCCTCTCTAACGGCGGGGTTACTTAGTCTGCAGAAAAATTGCCTTTAGCGCGTTCCTTGAACTAACAGTGTTAAAATAATCTTTTACTTTTGCATCTGGTAATGTTTTTGCCGGTTTGTTATTTAATAGCGCCAGTAATTTTTGAAATCACCCTCAGCAGCTTTAAGTTGCTTTATCTGAAACGGTTATAATTTCCGCAAACACATTCAATAACTAGTACCATAGTTCATAGACCACTTTTATGGGCCAAAAACGCTTTTAGTCAAGCTTGAGAGACATCCGGAAATTAAATCTTGGTCACACCTTGTCGGACGTGGATTTATGCGGACGACAAGTACTATTAAGAAGGGCCAGCTCGAAACCTTCGAGATAATTTAGAAGGACCCTCACGTTCTATAGCAATCTGCCACTGTAGACGACCTTACTTTCGTGAGTCAACACAACGACTCACCTATGCCGTTATTCTCCGTAAATATTCCTGGGTTAAACGCGAAACATCTCACTTAGAGTTAAATCTTTTCTGTATATATTTTTGTTCTGTAGTTATGGTTATTGCTACACCACAAACTTCTTTCAGCCCGGATGATTAAACCGCACTCACCAGTAGACGACGTAGCGTATGCCTGTGAATCAAGCATGCGCAGTACGTTCGAAGGCACCATGATCTGCTAGCAGAATGCAATGCCACTGTAGGTAGGGAATTTCAGCGGATAAACGTATCAGTTCGTTCACTATCTGTTACTTGTTGGTAGCTGCGTTAGGCAGCAGCACAATATAGGCAAAACAAGCGTGTCTGGGCTTTTAGCTTGTACCTGTGATGTCAGTACGGTAAATCATTGCGCAATTTTATACTACCAGCTGCATGTTGGCGGTTTGGGAATATTACGCGGTTATTCCGCAGAAGCCGATAGATTTCAGATCAAATATTCGCATTAACTTGTGGAGCGTGTCTGTAAAGGTCTGTTCCGAAGGATTTACTCCAAGTTCGCGCACTAAGTCCCTCGGAAATTAAGCAAGGCAAGAAAATAAAGTGTAAATTTGTCCATATTTTAATACAAATGCAAATGTTCTTCGACAAACCGAAGGACAGTCAGGACTCATCTCCAAAGCAAGCCTGTAAATGTCCTACTGCCATTTAAACGACTATCAATTACTCCCCTGACCAATAAGGCCTGCTCTTCGTGACAGGCATGGACTGTTTCGTTGAAGGAACGTCATTGAATCCGAGCGCCCATTTAGCGGAGTTTCCCACAATTAATTAATTGAAAACAAACGACGGGAGAAATAGATTTAAGTTCATGAACTGCGCATTACCCGTTGAACAGGTATTGTAAGTGACATTATTGAGGCATAGACAGTTTCCAAAACCACCGAGTCAGACATAAAAATATGGACCAAAGTTCTGGGCCCATTATATGGATGATACCTTCGTTGTTATCGGTCGGGATCAGGTGCTGACATTCAAAGAGCATCTCAACACCGTCTTCCCGGACATTTAACTTACGATGGAGGAGGAAGAGAACAACCAGCTGGCCTTCCTGGATGTCCTCGTATGCGCAAAAGATTGTGGAAAACTAAAGAAAAAAGTGTTCAGGAAAGTGACAAATGCGATGCAAGTACTGAACATCAACAGCAACCACCCAATCAGCCACAAACGCAGTTGTGAAAGAACGCTCTATCGGCGTGTCGAAACGCACTACAGTGAGCCGGAAGACGAGATTGCCGAACTACAATACATCCGACGGGTCTTCAAAGCCAATGGCTACCCGCGCAACTTCGTCAACCGATGCATAAGCCAAAGGGACGAAAGACCTAATCGCACGGACACCAAATCTTGGCGGGCGCTTCCGTATGTCAAGAACGTTTCGGAAGCTGTCGGCCGCTTCCTCGCACCACTTGGGGTCGGAGTTGCACACAGACCGGAGGCAACCATCAGGCGTCACTTGATGAAACCGAAAGACCCAATGCCACGGCAAGAAACGTCTGGAGTCGTTTATGGGATCTGGTGCAGTTGCGGACAAAGCAACTACTTCGGAGAAACCGGAAGACAACTCCAAACGCGAATGGTCGAACACGCTGCGGCGGCGCGGAGAAATTACGCTAGCTCTCAAGTTGTGGCTCATTCGACGGGTTCCGGCCACACATTCCAATTCGAAGAGGCCAAAATTCTGGCAAGAGGTGACAACCGCGTGAGCCGGGAGCTACTGGAATCATGGTTTACTGGCCTCCAGGCTATTAACAAGCGCAAATATCTTCCCATTCAATACTCGGTGCTGAGACTTCGCCTAGGCGGAGTAAGTAACCACCCGCGGAGCGCACAGATAAACAATTTTAACAACACCAGGTTAGGTGCGTCAGACGGTCGAACAATCATCACACCAACATCCAACGCAAGTGATGAAATTGCAGCAATTAACGACGCGAATGTCGGCCATCAAACAATTAGCACAGCAAGTGCGACGATCCTGGATGAAGGGGGCAGCCGTGCATGTTCATAGGTATGCGATAGCATGGCGACTGCATCCTATAAATGCTGCAGCCCCTGGTGTATGAACTACCCGTATCTGCTTTTTGTCTCTGATGATGGGTTCGATCAGGAATCCGAAACGTCAGGCTAATAAAGCTCTTGTTCCAGCGATCGTGTCACATTCTTAATGAGATATGGACTCCCTGTACTGTTAGGGGCCTCTCGCTAAATACGGGGTTGGAGAGTGTTTGTGCTAGTGTGCTAACGGTTACCCTGAACCAAATACGAACACTTATGGTCCTGGAATTTATCCTTACATTTCAAACCCCAATACTAACCCTAATCCTGTTCCTTGTAATGTGGATGGAGATCCGCATTCCCGTGCCCTATCGTATGGCGAAGTAATATTGCTCAAGAAGTTCCTCATTGCCGTGAAAAGGTTTGCGGTTTGCGATGTTTGGATGTGTTAGGTGGGCGTTTAAATTCGAAGTAGTTAATTGTTGGTCTTTTGGTTAGTATTCCTGTCATCATGGACAGGTGGTTAGTCGTTTTCTTGGTAGTCTGAAGCATTCAGAAGACCTCAAACACCTGCCAACGTAATAAATCACTGACAGCGAAAATCGCGCGAATACGCTTTTAAGCAGCGAGTATACTAACTGATGCTTTCTCGGTCAGATGTGATTATGTAACCCCACTTTATGTAAACAAACCGCAGTCACTTCTAATAAGGGACCGGTGGCAATAGGGGTTTTTGCAGGTGGGGCCGGGGAACCCACAGACCCACCCGTGTGTTATTAAACTGTCAACAAGAGAACTGCCACTGAGAGCGCCGAGAACGCACGACAGTGACAGGATCCCCAGCCATACGTCAACACTGACATGATAACCACCGTTCAGAAGGTTGTCGACAGGTGTGAAGGAGGCAGGAAGACGAGATGCGTGGAGGGTGGACAACGGACAATGCAAACAAGAGCAATGGTCGCGGTCACTCCGACGCCGCCCCCATCTCCACACGCGACAAAGGATGAGGAGGAGCCAATGTCGTCATGACAACAATCGCGAACCATGCGATGCAGCGCGCTGAAAGTCAGTAACTCGTCAGCACGAAGGAAGACCCTTAAATACTGCGACATGCCGTACGTAACCCGCCTCCGATGATGGAAGCTTGTCTGCTTTCAAAACGTCAGGCCAATAAGACCATGGTTTCTGTGATTCGCTTACCCTCTCAGTTATGTCGAGGAACGCGCATTTTCGCATCAATCCTATATATTTATGATGACAGATGGGCGCTCACTGATCAGGTTACGGAACATGCTCGTTCCGCTGTGCCTTGGGGCTAATACTAGAACCCTCGCAGGCAGTCGCACAGCGACTAGTGGTAGATATAGATGAGATGGAGCCGACAAAGACAAGGGAGACTGGAATGGCCATTTCTGGCTTATTAGCCGTCATCAGCCAGTCATACCCAACCCAAAGTGTGGGTCACTTGAGATTCGAACCCAAGCTTCCATCTTCGGATGTAGGTTCTGTACAACGCCCCACAGTATTGATGTGTGCTGAGCATACTGGCGTCTTGTCATTCCTACTGCTATCCCACAGGATGAACTGCAGGGGGGGATTTAATCGCTGTCCTGCTGGTCGACGGCCTTCCTCCTCTCCTCGTCGGCGAGCCATGGCGGGATGGCTGCGGTCATTGACCTCGTCTACATTGCCCTCATTTGTTGTGAGTGACCCGCATATCTCGTATTCGTGCCCCGTTTGGGTCTGCGCGTGTGCGTCCCCTCGGTGGTTGATGAGCCGTTGCCGATGTCTCCTTTCTTATCGGGCTGGTGACCCCCTTGACGTGGCTCGTTGTGCGGGTACAACACTTGTCTTCCTCCCTCCGCCTACCCCAGAGTATTCAAGGTGATCAGGCAGTTCCAACAAGACTACGGTAAAGAATCTCATTTATGAATAAAGTGTACGCAGGACATGACAATTTATTAAATTCTGAAAAACGTGCTATCATTGTGGTACGATGTCTCTTTATATGGGTCAATAGAAGAATGTGGACAAAATATAGCAGCCGAGATCAGTTCTAGGGACAAATGATGCCCATGGAAGACTAGGCAAATATCAGGTGATAATCTGTTGGAGGAAAATGAAAATTACAAGAGAGACAATCTCTTTAAGGCAGCGTATTCATTTTGATTCGGCAAGCTTTCGGACAAGCAGTTGGAAACCCTCCAGATTAGGACACCTCGGCTTAACTGACTTGGAGATATTTGCCTCCAAACGCCCCGTGAGCTCCGTCAGAGCCGCCTGTAGGGCATTGAATGGCACAACTGTATGTCCCCCCAACTCCACGCTGATACTTCCCGGATATAAGTTGAAATAACCGGGACCGAGCAGAATGGCAAAAGTGGAATTTCTTTGACGCACGATGTCACACGAACACTGATTGGCCAGTTTCACAGTCGTGTTCCAGGAGGCCACCGTCTTTGCAAAAGCGACAAAGTACACTGCACCTCCTATAGAATCACTGTCATCAACCACTTCGGAGTGAGGCCTAAAGAAATGGATTTTACCACCGTAACGGCAGACGGACTTATTGATGGCCTGAATCAGGCTCTCTTGCGTGACGCTGTCGGTGGCGCAGTTGGGACAGGCGGGCGGAGCAGGTGTGGTCAGAGTTGGTGTTTGTTCCGTCACGACTGGCGTCTCCGCGGGTGCGTCTGCCTCTTGCGCGAAATCGGGATTCCAGTAGCGTTTGCAGGTACTTGGCAGGAAGGAGACCTCGGTTTTCTGCTGGGGAGCATAGTAATCTTGCACGCGGATCAGGGAGGGACTGAGGGGCTCGATAAACATCTTTTGTCTAAGCGGTAGGCTGACGCAGCGCAGCATCTTATCGCGTCCACTGACGTTCGCCGCTTCAGCCTCCGTGAAGGCATCAAAGTAGGCAAACAGTGTCGTCTTCTGAGCATCATATTCAACACGGCGTAAACCGCGGTACTTCAAACTTGCCAAGTCTGATTCTCTAATTGCCCACCCACTGGGCAGCTCGAATGTTAGGAGAATCATGCCGGTGGAGTCCACTGACTTGACAGCGTGTTCAGATAAACGCACGCACACGATCGTCTTGGCATGAGTGCACTCCGGGCTGAAGTCGTGTCCCTGAGTTGTGCTAACATCGAGCGAAAAGGGGGAGTCCTCATTATCCGGACCGCCATTGGGATCAGGGGTGTTGTAGAGGGCAGAGAGATGCACCACAACACAGGCGGCCCTCGCCGGTGCGGACACCTTCCACCCGACCTCCTGCGAGGCTGTCCGACTGTGATAGCCCAGCTCCACTTGCTGCGAGATGTGTGCATTTGTCCGGTTCACTACTATCACCTCCGTCTTAAAGCCTCCAGGCAGAATGCTAGCCGTCACTGCTGCGGAGGCCTCTCCTCCGGATGAAGCTGACGCGACAGTGAAGAGATGCAGCTGGCCGGCTGCATGAGCCAGCGCCCGTAGAGCCACGACGGTGTCCTGAGTCGAGGAAAATCCACCCTGCTCATCCTGCTGTGCCGATAACCAACGGATGACGGGCAGCAGTTGAGAGATGGAGTGAGACTCCGCGAGGGCCAGATACGCATAGGCTGTCGTCTCGACTTCGGAAGCGAGGCGGGCTGTTTCCACATCCTGCCACCAACGCCGTGCTCCGCTTCGTGATGGCTTCTCAGACGCCCTGGCGATCAACTCTGCGTGGACACGTCGTCGTTTTTCCAGCAATTCGGGCAGCTCAGGAAGGCGTCTGAGTGCATAGGCTACCTTGGCAAGGGCTCGTATGGGGACTTCAGAGATGTTAAATGAATCCACAGTGGTCAACAGACATCTACTTGCCGATTCAATGACATTAACGTACAAGTCAGATCTGCCTTCTCTCAGAATCGCCGGAGCGTCAGCCAGTGTCAAAAACAACATAGGAGGTTAGAAGGAGGTCGCTGAGGCTGTCGGCTGCCTTCGATGAACTACTTGTAACTTGCAATTCTGAGTGAATTACACGACCACGCTCCACAAAGCAGCCATCCGAACGTTGCACTGTTCTGAGAAACTCGAAGGCCGTGGAGAGTGTGGCGTTAAAATTTACGCGGGCTGTTCGCAGCTTTTCTAGTGCCTTTTCCTGCAACAGCTGTTCAGCCTCGCTAAATACACTAAAAACAAAGGCCGTCAGCCAGGTACTCCCAGTCCCGTGAGATTGCCCAAAAGCTGAGAAGGAACCATTATCATGACGATAGTTGAGCTGGTTGGTGTAGCCACTGACGATGTAGTTTATCGCTGTTTGTGCCAACTTCCTGGTTTTGGAGTCATTCAGGTCGGCAGCTGCGACCAAATATTTGAGCACGTACACACTTGGCGCCACCTTCACCATGTTCTGTTCACCACAGCCCGTCGGTAGTCGAACTAGACTGCCCAGATTCTCCAGTGCCTTACCGAGGACATTGCCACTAACTGAGATGTAGCTGCTCTATGAGCCCTACACTATGTGCTCAGGCAGTTCCAGTCGCATTACCTCCTCCGTCGACGTTTTGCCATCAGAAAGGCACAGCACACCGCCCACGTTTGTCTCGGCTTCTACACCCTCGGGCACGACCAGAACTGAACGCCTGACGGCATCGGTCACTGAGGCTCTGTGTTGTCTGTCCGCTGGGTCTTTGGCACACATAAGCGATCCCGACTTCGCCGCGACCTCCGCCGTCACATTCAGTCTTCCCAGCGTCCGCGGCTTGAGAACCAGCATGAAGGTGGCCTTCGGATCACCCTGACACAGGCAAGTACTGAACTCGGAAGTGCCGATCAACTGCCAATCCCTGCGATCAACAGCAACTGACATGAGAACCTCGTAACAGGCCTTCTTCTCATCTGCAGCTCCACTGGCCGGCGTGTGCGGCAGCATGAAGACGCTGACGGGCATGTGTATAACCTCCTGTCGCTTGGTCTTCACTGGAGGCGTGAATTCGACGTAGAAGGGGAGCGAGACGGTGACTGTCTCGGGCTGCAGTCTGGGTGGCATCCAGAGTCCGAGGTTATGCGTGAAGCAGAGTGCTGTGAACTCCCAGCTAGTTACGCTGTCTGGCGCAGTCAACAGTGTTGCATATTGCCCTGCTTGGTCGAGTTTGAAATGGTTAAACAGCCAGACCTCGGGGAAAAAGTCTCGCAATCGTGGTTTCACAATGCCACGCTCCGTATCTGGTTCAATGTCAGTTTCAAGGTTCATTTCACTCGTTAACATAGTCGATGTCGCGAATAACGGACACACTATTTGCTCTTCAATTTCCCTTCTCAGTGGTCTTGAATCAATGAAATCTAGGCCGATCACATCGAACGCAGCCTTTGTGCTGTCGATAGAATTCCGACTGTAGTAAGAGCGGCGGTTATTTTGAAGCTCATCCGTATATTTATTTAAGTAGATCAGAGTCTCCTTGAACCTCTCGTAGTTCTTCAAAGAAGTATCCACAAGACGCACTATACATGAGTTTTCGATACCGGACACGTTTGAGCCTCCGACGGTTGGAACGTTGAGTTTCAGACCAACCCTGTCTCCGGGCATCACTGAATGCCTGTTGAGGTTATTTTCAGTGGGTGATTTAAGGCGGGACTCAAACATGGCCGGTGTAGAACAAAGTTTTAGATTTTCAACTTCCAGATAATCGGAGACAACTTCATAACCTCCCGGCAAATTGGCATCAATGTTGTTGACGTATGCCACCGCGCTGAGTGTTGGTCCGAAAATGGAATCCATTTTGAAGATCGCCTCATGCATAAATATTGTCCTGCGAACTTCCCCGCTTCTTCCACTTGGAGGCATTGTAGCTGGTTTCTGTGGCAAAGTGGGCTCTTCAGTAGTAGTGGAAATGATTCGCGTTGTGGCAGGATTCTCGTAGGCTGCTGTAGCCACATCACACAAATAGCCAGTATAGCCTTCTTCGCAAACACAGTCGTCACCCTGTACACATCTCCCATGAAGACAACCCTGGCGTGGCACACAGGTATCACAACTCTCACCTGTCCAACCCACCTTTCAGAAGCCATCCCTGTCGCAGCGTGTCAGACAGTTCTCACCAGTCCAACCCCGCAGACAGCTGATCTCGCCCACTTCTCCTGGCTTGAAGCCGGCATTACAGGTGTAGTGTCCCAGATCGCTGTCCTCGTTGAGGCAGGCGTAGCTCGAACTCGCAGATTGCAGAACTGCGGACCGCTGTGTCGGCACACCACGCGAGAGGTACTCAAGGAAGAGTGTCTTCCCTGCCAGGGGTGCACTAGCCATGATAGTAAGATTTAGGCTTCCAGGGCAGTGCACCGGTGAGTCACCGTTTATACTTCTTACTTTGAGGGCCAGACTACCCAGTGATCTCCAGCGTCTCAACGATTCAGACGTATATACTTCCGCATGACTCTCGTGGGGCTGCCAAAACGGAGGGATTATGTGTTGAGGGGGTGGTGGGGGTGTGTTAGTGGCGGGGGTGGTGGTGGCGGTGTTATTGGTGTCGGCGGCGGTATTAGGAGTGGCAGTGGTGGTAGCGGTGGTAATGGTGGTAGACGGGGTAATGGTGGCGGCGGTGGCAGAAATTGTTTCGTCACGTAGTAAGGCCACTTTTACCTGAAGTTCTCTTCGACTATTTACTGGCGGCAGAATAAAAGAAGCAACACCATCGGAATTCAGCGTCAATTGTCTGGAATATATGTCCGGATTGAAACTGTCCCCACCTCCATACCAGGTGCCACAGTGATTGAGTATTTCAGAAATCCTTAGGTTGACTCTCGTTGGAGAACCCATTGCAACAGTATTCATTTCATTCAGACGCACCCTGCCGTAAATGGGCAAACCTGGATGATAAGCACGATCTATTTCTAGACTCAGTTTGCGGGCGCGAAAACGACGAATTTCAGCCTGACCGAACTGTATCACCGCCGACCTCGTATCCGCCTCAGTGATAGTGACGATGAAACCGACCACTTGGCTCCCCCAACCATACCTCCCTCCAGCCTGTTGCATCAAGGATTTCACGTTGGCTCTCCCACGTGCACACCCGCCCTTCTCAGGTGTACCGGAAAGGCTGCCAGCAACACGAAGACACTGACTTGCAGGCCTTCTCGAATAGGGGCCAGACGGGCACATATCATTATCAAACGGAACGCCCAGGCTCTGCTGCTGCCGTCTTAATTCCATTCCAGAACAGACGCAGATCTGAGCATCGTAATGTCCCTGGAAGGAATTTCCGTTGGTGTAACTTGCACCGACGTTAAAGTGTGTCTTCTCAGCGTTGATGTCCACCTCCTTTGGGACCTGAATGGAAGCTAGAAAACGTGGAAGAGCGTAATTTTTCACATCAACTTACAGAGTTTGACTGCTGGTGAAAACCTTGGCCACGAGAAGCAAAACGCCTTCGGATGCATCGGACAGCAGAGAAAAGGACAAATTCAATGCCGTCATCTGCGAGACATGTCTCCACTCCTTCACTCGATTTCCACTCGGATCTTCTACGTAGATCACATCAAATTGTGGAGATGCTTGACGTTGATGTCTCTCGTCTTCTGCGACTTCGACGAATTTGGGATCAAAGTAATCCTGTCGATCAACTCGAAATTTAGGCCACTTTGACTCTTCAGTAGTTGGTTGAAGTTGACGTGAATTAAGGGCAATGAAGCGAAAGCGAATGTTCTCGCCAGGTCTGTAAATCGGCTTGTCTGATTCACCCAAAATAACAAGAAACTTCCGAACAAATGAGGCATATATTAGCTGGCTTTTCCTCTTTGGATGTCGGCACGATTTCACTACTTACGCAGCATCCGCTTCCTGGTCATCATTCTCGTCTCCGGCGCCCTTCATTGTGTCCTCTCTCTCCGTCTGCTTCTCCGAATCGTCAGCATCATTAGTGTTATAGTGTTCGCTGTAACCTCGGGGGCGTCGGCCATCTTCCTCCGGAGGGCAGTACTCGTAGGTGACATTGAGATTGATCGAGCCTCCCTCATCGGTCACAAACGGTGGACGGAAGCCAACTTTAGCTACGTACACACCGTCGGCAGTTCTTTCCGGAATAAGCCGATAAGATAATGTCATGGGGAAACGTGGCGACCATAGAAGTATGAGGCGATACTCACTTTTGACAGTGGGTACACAGAGCGAAGTTGGAGGCGGTTTGGCAGATCAGGAAGGAGTGTCTTTGGAATGGTGATAGTGACGACATTATCGGAATCGTAGCCTGCGTCGACGTAGTTATCCTGATATATAAGCCCATTGGCTGATAAAAGCAGCGTAGAGAAGACGAAGAGAACAATCCACTTGGGCAGAAAAACCCCTCCAGCCTTGCTTCAATGGCAATTTACAGTTATTTTATGCGTCAAACGTTCGCACTGCCTGGCTCAACATCGAATGTCCGTTACGATCCTCTTACTATTGGTCTATTTAAACCAATTGGTGTTTCATGTCGATGCCCTTGTGACCCATTGGCTAGCTCCACCATCACCAGATTCGGCCAATCACGGGCATTCCACTGCTCTGATTCGCCATGGTTGTGTGCGCGAAAGCGGGTTACAACAGAATGCAGTTCTCTTAGGCCGATTCATGGACGTTTCACTGTGACACAGGCAAACATAATGCCTTTAATTCACCATATCACAGACTTATGATAAGGTGATATGGGATTCTGGCTTGATTTTAAATCCCGAAGGTGGATTAGAATAGTTGGGCCCGAGTTAGAGTTACTTCGGTGAGAGATGGCCGGGGGTGATGGTGGCGGCGACAGCGGTGGCACCGCTTCAGTTAAAGGTAGTGTTCGTGGCCGGGCACAAGCACACGCTATAACAAACGTTTACATTTTTACCGCCTACTGTAATATCTCCATTTCGATAACAGACTACCTAAATTGTTGTTTTAGCTTTCTTGGAATCTTGCTGAAATTGTCCTTAGCCACAAAAGTTATGCGACTGCCAGCAATATTGTCTTCTGTCTCCAATGTAGTAACGACGACAGGAGAAAGGACGAAGCAAAATAGCTACTTTCTTTATTCACAGCTAATGGCTACCCACGATCCTTCATATGTGAGTGCCGACGGAAGTCTACCCGTCAGCGATCCGACGGTGGGAAGCCGAAGTTTTGGCTCGCGATCCCCTACATGAGGAATGCTTCCGAGGCGACAGCTAAAATCCTGATCCCCTTTGGGGAAGCAGTCGTCCTCTGTCGAGCCCATGACAAGATGGCTAGGCTGGTGCTCGAAAGTTGGTCCTCAGTTGGCACAATCAACAGGGCTATCGATCTTCATCCGGCCTACCAGGCGCTACGTACAAGGCTCCAGTCAGCCCAGACGGGGCCGACAGTACTGGCGGGCGAGTCGCGGCTCCTCCAACATTTGCCACCTTCACAACAGAGGAAAAGAGCCAGCCAGAGGTCACACGACCAACTCGAGACATCGGCCCACCGGCGGGCCCAAACAGCCGGGCGCAATTCGCACACGCACCGGCAACTGGTCAACCCATCCGATTATGAGGGGAAGGCCCAAAAGCACACAGATTTTGAAGCGACTACGACAGCCAGTCAGGAGGCAGAGATTACAGGAGCGCGGCATTGGCCGCCCGCGGAGGGACCCAAACCAACCTCCAGCCAGGAGGCAGGTCAGAGTTCGTGCGTCAGGCATGCCTATAGCACAAGACAGGCGGAGGGGCAGAACAACTCCGAGCTAGCAGGAACAGACACCCTACCATCCTGATGATGGAAACGAGGAAGTTTCCGAAACGTCAGCACCAGTACAATGTGGCCCATGAAACCGCCTCTTTTTCTTCTTCGTCTTCTTTTGGGGATGATGAATGGGATGATTTATCAAGACCTCGAATCTTCACTCATGCTATTGTGTATGTATATAAATATTGACTCAGGAATGGGCGTACACCTATCCATTGGTTTCCTGAAGAAAAAAAGCTTGGTAAAGGTGATAGGGGCCACGAACAGGCAATCACCTATCAGGTCGAAGCCGGCCAAGCTACGATAGCAGAGGGTAAACGACAGAGTCTGGGGGGTAGATTGATACAAAACTGTTTTGGGCCTGTTTACCTTAATTCAGCCAACCATAACCCTGATCACAATGTGGGACAAGGAACACAAACATGCGCACAGACACCCCTGACGCAGCTGGTCCACCACTGGGGTCTACCAGATGGTAGGCCTGGTAGGTGGTTGCCTGTTTGTAACCCCTATCACCCATACGAAGCTCGTTTGCTTAGGGAAGACAATAGATCGGTGTGCGCCCATTCCTGAGTGAATAAATACCCGATGTGTAGCGACAGAGAATGACAGGTAACGAGGCACTGATGAAGTTCGGTTCGATGAAGTGCTTATGACCCAACTGGTAGACCCCAGTGGTGTACCAGCTGCGCCAGGTGCGTCTGTGCGCATGTTTGTATTTCCGGTTCCAGCTAGTGGTCAGGGTTATGATTGGCTGAATGAAGTCAAACAAGCCCGAAACAGTTCTGTATCAATCTACCTCCCAGACTGTCTATAACGGCCAGCCGGCATGACCGGTCTGTCGTCATTGTTCAAGACCTCGCTGTCTCAAGGTCATTCACCCCTTGCGGCGAGCCGTCCCAGACGAGCTGACCTGAAGGCACACGACCAACAACTCGGGCATACCTGCGTTCGCGCAGTCTCAGCTGCCCATGCGGCCATTTGAACGCTCCACCCCCTGCAACCAGCAAACCAAGCCACTGAGATACCACCCCTCGGCAACTGCAACACACACTGACTGGAGACCACTTGAGCTTGGCCCACGAGCCTACAAAAGCGGCTGCCACCATTATCTCAGGGACTCTCAGGCCTGACTGGACGCAGTCAACACCAGCCCTGGCTTCGCCAGTGGCCAGTGTCGCCTGAGAGGACAGCTCCGGGTTCTGTGCACAATAAACCCCTCATTCTGGTGCTTTCTGTCTTCTCCCTTCAACCTGGAATTTGACTTGATAATTGTAGCGCTCAGAGCACTTATTCTCTCTGCAGGGCCGCTACATGCCGATAAGGAAATGACGCACACAGATCTATTGGCATCCCAAATCAAATAAGCTCCATATGGGTGGCAAGGGTCACCAACAGGCAACTAACTACACTGCCGAGTTCGACCAAGTCCTAATAGTAGCGAGCAGGGACGATAGAGAATGCGGGGGGACTAAAACCGTACTGTTTCGGGTTTATTAGCTGGTAGACCCCAGTGGTGGACCGTCTGCGCTAAGTGCTTCTGTGCGCATGCTTGAGTTTCAGGACCCAGCTGCTGGTAAGGGTTATGATTAGCCGCACGAAGGCAAAATAAGCCCGAAACAGTACTGTATCAATGTAACCACATTTTCTGTCGTCCCTCCTTGCTGCTGTAGAGGGGAGAATAGATTGGTAAAGAACTGTTTCGGGCTTGTTTGCCTTCATTCGGCTGATCATAACCAGCTGGGGGTCAGGATTATGATTGGATGAATGAATGAAGTATCTCATCACTCAAAAACCAGCCAAATCAATCGACAAAGCCCCAAATTAATAACGCACGACTTTAAGTGAGATAGGAACATAGAAGAAATGTTGGTGAGGTTTGGTTCTGCAGTCGCGCATCATTGATACCATATGGCTGGCTTAGTTATTAGTAAACATTACCTTACTTAGCCACTCCCTGGATCAGGAAGGAAGAGAGAGCGCAAGCAGAGCTCAAAGCTCGTGCAGGGAAACGAGTGAAGATTGTATGTAAAAACTCCCCTCGACACAGCCACCTGCTGGATGATGAGGATAAGGAGGGCGCAATCACAACTGGAAGACCATGGAGGGAACCGCGTGTTTAACTTCGCGGAAGTAACTATTTTCTTTCAAAGGCCTAGGTAACGGAAACGCCAAATTTCGTGTCAAAGCAGAAAACCTATTTTTAGGAAAACATTCAGCATATCCATCGAAGCAGCTGAGTAGTAAATGCCACAAAACCAAGGTAGTGACTTTTGAAAATCCAAAGTGCATATATAAATAAAGTAAATACCCTGCAAAAATCGGTGTTTCATGAAGCATACCACAGAGTTAAGTGCGTAATAGTTGACCACTGGCCTCAAAACTGTTCCCTGATTTTGTGCTGTTCGGGATGCGATTGATTAAAGCAAAAAGTATTTTGTTTAATTTCACTGACAGGGATGTCACAGGACTTAATGTCTCCATGAAGTGACATGCTGAGCGACCGATCTGCTTCTAATAAATGCAAATAGAATTAGCAGATGCAATCGTAAGCATACCACTTTATTAATATCAAGAGAACTTTCCTGCAGTACTGTCAACTTTGGCGACCATGGGTTACGCTGAATTACAGTGCGCTCTAAAAGTGTCAATGAGTATTTTGAGGCTTTCAGTGTTCTTAGTCGACTGGTTAGGGAGATATGTCGGCAACGGTAGGGTATAGGACCCCAAACTGACTCGAGCTAGCTTGTAGAGCGTGTCATACGTTAAATGGTGGTAGAGGGGGTTTACGGGCGGGTCAACACACGGGGTAGAGAGCAAGAAGACACGAAATGTAAATAAATTTCTGCCGAAAGTCTTGTCCTACGCTGGGATTCGGCAAAAAAAGTGAGCGCGATAATTAAAAAAAAACAAACAAATGAAATTTTCAAAAAATAGCGGACTTTGAATAAAGCGCCACTGGTAGGTTTACGTTGATTCAGAAAGGAAAGGAAGTTTCATACAATGGGAACGGTGAATAATAAGTGATGCTTTTAGTCGCACTGAATTTTTAGGTATATTTTTGGAGTTACCATCTACTTGGTGGTCCTACAGTATACCGTTACCGATATGCTATGTAGTTGGCGTCTAAATAAACCACTGGAATAAATTATTTATTAAAAAGCTTGCCCAAATTTTGGTTTGTGGGCGTTCTTTTTCGTCTAAATGAGCGTTTGAACCATATTTTAAGAGAAACTAAGCACAGGACGTCGTCACTGACAAAATGGTCGTTCACAACAAATGTCGGCGATAAATGTGCTCTGAACCTGATTAGAATTTTTCTCTAAAAGTCACTCCTTTAAATGCCTCTTTTTAAAAATGCCGCGCTGTCAGATGTCCACAAA